GCCTTAGTTGACTGCCAACTCTGTGTTTCTTGGCTGTGTCACCTGGGGTGAATCACTTCCTTCCTCTGAGTCTCGGTTTGTCCAGTTGTAAAATGGGTTGGCAGTCTCTATTCTTCCAACCTTGTAGTGCTTCTATAAAATGAGATGACGCAGAAGTAAGGGCTTTGAAAGGCATCAAGCAGCCCTCACTCGGGTGTGGTTTCCAAGGCTGATTGGGTGGGTGGAGAGAGAGGGGCACTTGGGAGGGGGAATTTGACACCTTCAAGATCCTAAATATTTCAGATAACCTGGGGCAAGTTGTAAGTCATACTGAACACTGTCATAGGTTTGGGATAGTCACCTGCTAAGAAGACTTTTATCTCAAATATGCATTCTCAGATGCTCTGCTTCTGGTGATCTAGCTCCGTGGTCTGTCTTTCCAGTGGAGGTAGCTTGGGCAAGATGAGACTGGTTCCAGGTTAGAACCTAATTTCTATGGCCTTCCTCTTACAATCTGTAATGGTCTCTGCCTGGGGACAGCGCAGGTTACTGGGATTTCCTTAATGGTCCTCATCCCCAAGTCTCATCACCAAACAGGCATTTCAAAAGCTCTGCACCCAGATGGAGCTCTGGTTCCTGCCCTGAAAGAGACAGCACGAAACTTCCCAGCTTTGCAGTGGACTCTTTCACCTGAGTACCCCTCTCGGAATTAGACAGCATGCAATTGGGGGATTGCTCTACCTTTCCAGGCAAAGAGGCTCTTGGCCCTTCCTGTGTATCTCCTTGTTTTTCAGAAAGTGTGTGGCCATGCTTTTGATTTTTCATTGTCCTGCTCTTATTTTAGCAACAAATTGATGAGCCATGGGAGCTTTCACCATGTCTGCCTGAGTTGCAGGGGAAATCATTGACTGCTAGGTACAGTACAAAAAGCTGGGAAGGGTGCGTCTGCCAATAGCTCCCTGGTAACTTTGGGGAGAGATGTGAGCTCTTTGCTCCCCATTTTCCCTATCAGTAGAAAATGTAGGGACCACCCAGGCCCTGAAAGATGGAGGGACCAAGTTAAAATGAGCAACAGAAGCCAGCTGGCAAATAGGAGGCGTCTGGAATTAATGTCATCCCTGCATTGCAACTGACTCAGCAGATTTTAGAAATGAAGAATGGAGCCAAGGAACATACTTTTGGTATTAACCAAACTGCCAAAGGCTGTTATGTAAAACGAACCTCCTTGTTAATCTTTAAGAAGGATAGAGGAGAGATTCTTTTGTCTATACTGATTCGAGTTGGGGTGAAATAAACACCATATCTTTTTGGTCTTTGGATTCTGTCATTCCCTAATGAGAATAGCCCATTTCTTTTTCTTTTTCTTTCTTTCTTTTTTTTTTTTGTTTCTTTTTTTTCTTTTTTTTTTAAATTGATTTCAGAGAGGAAGAGAGAGAGGGAGAGAGAGAGAGACAGAAACATCAACGATGAGAGAGAATCATTGATTAGCTGTCTCCTACATGCCTCCCACTGGGGATCGAGCCCACAACCCGGGCATGTGCCCTGACCGGGAATCAAACTGTGACCTCCACGTTCATAAGTCGACGCTCAACCACTGAGCCACACCGGCAAGGCCAGCCTATTTCTTCACGGGTGTGTTCTGACATGCGTCTGCCCACGTTGACGGGTGATGGGAAGAAAGGCACGTGGACACGAGAGTCTCTGCTCATCTCGGGCGAGAGCAGAGGTCATCTCTGGGCAGGCAGGACTTTGCAGTGTCACAAATATTTCCAAAGGGAAATGCTTGCAAAATGCAGATGCTGATCCCAATTCTGACCTTTGCGGCTGGTGCCAGCAATCGCACTGGCACCTTTGTTCCCGCACGGGGAAGAGCCAAGAAGTGAAATGATATTTTCCTTCCCTCATCATTACTCAGCACGGCGTGCCCGCTTCACTACAAAAAACTCAAGAGAAATGGCCGGCCGTGCCGTTGTTCTTATCCAGAAATGCATGCTCCTTTCTAACCAAGGCATCCGCTGGGCGCAGCATGGTCTCTGAAAACGTGGTCTTGTGAGTGACTCCATCACACGTACCTGTGATGTGCGTAGCCAGATGGTCCGAGTTCTCAGGGGAGATAGCTCTTCCATTGTAGCATGCAAAGGAATGCCCCCATCTCATTCCAACATCAGATCCTCACTCGGTCCTGGGGGCGCTGAGTTCACTATGTGACAGCCTCCGGGGTTTTGACGGGGGGACGGGGGCATAGGCACAGCCACCTTGAGGATGGCCACTGCCGCACACACTGTGCCTGCTCCTCTGTAAGCTGAGACCTGCTGCTGCTTTTAGAACTGCACTTGAGCTTGAGCTTGAGCTCAGCTAAATAAAGGATTGCCTGACTTATCAGGATCATTACCTGATTGGTGACAAGTTTCTGATGTAGACAAATAGCCTATAGACAATCATTACCTGATAGACAAAAAATTTGTAACAATTTTCTGATGTAGACAAATACGTTCTAGTACTAGTTCCTATAGAGCTCAGTGGAACTGACTTTCTCCCTCCTTTTAGCACTTTTCGTTTTTATTCTTCAAGAGCTTTACTCTCATCTGCCACTCCCTGAAGCCCCATTTCCCCCCCTTTCCCTCTCTCTCTCTCTCTCTCTCTTTCTCTCTCTCTCTCTCTCTCTCTCTCTCTCTCTCTCTCTGTTTCTCCTTGGAAATTTAAATCTTTTTGCGTTTAGATTTGGTGGTTGAGCTTTCTCTTTGTAAATGCTACCTGCCATTCAATTGTGTTTGAGCTTGGGAGTTAGGAAGGCCTAGATCTCTTAGCTCCCACTTCCTGTTTCTCTGAGGCTCTGCTTTCTCATCTGTCCAACGGGAACAATATTACCCACCTCTCGGGCAGGGTAGTGGGGAGGTGGCAGAGAGAGGGGGATAGTGGATATAATAAAGTGACTTATGTGTAAGCACCTAGTCTCCTGCCTGGCATGCAGTAGATGCTCAATAAATATCAGTTTCCTCATTCTTATCGGAAGCACGAATTCGCTTAAAAGAGCAACTCCCATGTTCTCCACTAGCACTCAAAGTATACAGCATGTTGTTAACAGAAAGTGTTCTCCATGTTCAGTGAAGAGATTTTTCAGCCCTGATATCCTGATTATTACTTGTCTCATTTTTTATTCTTATAAGTATATTTTCAATAGGACATGATCTCACTCATCTAGGGGGCAATGGCGAACAACATAGACTGATGAACAAGAACAGGCCCATAGATAAGGAGCCATGGGTCAGTCTGTTGGACCTCAAAGGGGGGATGGGGATAAAAGGGAGAAATCAGCCAAAGGACTTATGTGCACACATATGAGCCTAACCAGTGGTCAAGGACAATAGGGGGGTAGGGGCATAAGGGGGGGGGATTGGAATGGGGGGGGGAGGACAAATATGTGATACCTTAATCAATAAAGAAATTTTTTTTAAAAATCGATGGTTGTTTAGACATCTTGAGAGGATGCCCCTCCTTCACTCCTGACGCTCACACTGGCTTCTGCTGCAAACACGGCTTTCCAAGAGCGATCCCTGTAGGCAGATAAGGAAACTCGGGTGTGTCTCGGTGTTGAGGCCTTTGCTGGACACTCCCAGGGTCCAGCACGGAGACCGAGGATCAGGTGTTCAACCTGAAACAACACCTGCTCCTCAGAGGAACGACCTTGTTCCTCCGAATGTAGCTGATAATGGGTTCTTTGGACTGTCCTGTTCCAGCTCCTTCCAGGCAGAGGGAGCCGTGACCGTGACCGCGGGCCAGGGGGAAACAGTGCGCTATTGTGCCCGGGGGCCCGGGAGCTCTGGCTGTAGGTGCTGTTCGAAATCGGGTTTCAGAAATATCTGCCCACATCTCCTCCCCACCCCCCAGTCCCCCGTCCAACCTGGTGTTACTGTTTGAGAGAGAGAAAAAAAATCATCTCTGTTCTTTGTGTCGGTTGATTAATTTTAGGTTTATTATTCTTATCCCATATCACACTCACACAGCTACTTATGTAACATGTTCTTATATGTCACCCGGTCCTTCCTGCCAAGGACCCGACTCAGGAAAGGAACTCCGTAGCGGAGAGCCGCTGCCTTCTCTGGCTGGAGAACGGCAAGTCGAGGGAGGACCCTCCGCTAGTTCAAGGCCACGAGTGGCGCCTCTCTCAGTCCTTCAGACAGGGGCGGCTGTGCAGCCTGTTCCTGCCCTGGGCAGAGACAATGGTCTCTGCCAGCAGCACTCTGGAGACGGAGAGAACCGTCCCACGTGATTTCAGGGCTTGAAAAGACCCGTGACATCATCTGATCCAACCACTTTTTCTTGCGGGAGAGGAAACTGAAGCTCAGGGAGGACCACGTGATGGCTAATTTATTTCGTTTTTTGAGTGACTGCCTGGAGTGTGTGTCTCAGGAGCTGTGCACGTTCAGGAGACTCACCACAGGCTTCCGGAAGGTTAACTGAGCGGCCAAAGGAACATCAGGCAGGGCTGGGGTAGTAGATGAGAAACCGGCCAGCACACAGTTAACTAACTAAACACCTACTACATCCTTTGGTGCATGAGTATTCTGCCGCATTCTGGGGATCTGGGAGAAGGAAGGAAAAGTACAAATGGGCAGAAAAAAAACGTGTGTTTAAGAAATGGTCCCCATCCTCCAGGCACGTACAGTGCAGTGAAATTAAAGACCTGTTGCAAAACATCGACCCTCACAAGATCACATGTGTGTGTAGATGTGGAGTGGCGCAGTGAGGAAGTCCTAGAGACGTTTGAGAGGAAGAAAGAACTGCTGGTTCCCAGTGGTCACGCCCCATGTTTTCGCTGCTGGACTGTGAATGCCAGAGCTCTCATTTCACGTGTGGATCCCCGTGGTTATGGCCTGGGGGTGGGGCTCGGCTCACACTGATGAATTCATATGCGGCTCATTTGATACCAGCGTCAGGGGGATATGGATGCGTGCCCATCGCGACCCCTGTGGGAGGAGTGCTGTCTGCTCACATAGATCTTTTCTTTCTTTTTCTTCCAGTGGCCCACCCGCAGGACCCTCACCACCCCTCCGAGAAGCCCGCCATTCACTGCCATAAATGTGGGGAGCCTTGCAAGGGCGAGGTGCTCCGGGTCCAGACCAAGCACTTCCACATCAAATGTTTCACCTGCAAAGGTATGGCTTCAGGCTTCCCAGCTCCATGGCACGTCACAGCCAGTGCCTGCCTGGAGGTCCGTCCCGCCCCCTCTCCACACCACGTCACCGGAGGACGAGTGAGCATGCTCAGGAGCCAGCAGTCACTTAGCGTCCCTCATGTGGGGTTGGGTGAGATTCAGGGGGCAAACTGGGTCCCCCACCACCGGGGAGGCACAGGCCTTTGGGTGTTCACTGAGGTTCCTGGTGCCTGGAGGGGGGCACTGATTAGAGGGGAGCAGTGAGAGTGCAGTTATGATTTCTGAACTTTTTATTTCTTTTCCTGTGAAATGAGGGATTCCTACCACAGAGTAACTTTGTCCCAAAACCCATTATTTAGAGGAGGGCTGGAAGACTGGTAAAGTTGGGGTACAGAGTCACTGGCTCCTGTGGGACATGTGGGGTGGAGGTCTAAGCTGTGTGTGTGTGTGTGTGTGTGTGTGTGTGTGTGGTATGTGTGTGTATGGTGGTGGTGTGTGTGTTTGCTGTGTGGTGGTGTGTGTGTGTATGGTGTATAGTGGTATGTGTGTGTGGTGTATGTATGGTGTGTAGTGTGTGTGTGTGTGTGGTGTATGTGGTGTGTAGGGTGTGTAGTGGTGTGTGTGTGTGTGTAGTGGTGTGTGTATGGTGTGTAGTGTGGTTTGTGTAGTGTGTGGTGTGTGTGAGTGTGTGATGTGTGTGGTGTGTAGTAGTGTGTATGTGTAGAGTGTATAGTGTGTGTGTGTGTGTGTGTGTGTGTGTGTGTGTGGTGTGTTAAGAAGTGAGCATTAAGCAAAACTGCTTGGAAGGCCTCCAAGCAGAAAAGTACATCCCATCCAGGAAGCTCCCAACTGGAGGTCGATTTCCATTAACAAGCCTCCCTTTGGGGCTCAGAGCTGTTGGTATCTCGGTATCAAATATGCTGACCTGTAGTTGTGGGGCCAGGCCTGGCTGCTTTGTGCTTATTTGAGAAATAGGTCATTTGAGCTGATGGCATGCTGGAGTGGCTGAGGTTGGTGTGGGGGATGTAGGAACTGGGAGAGAAGAGGACAATTGTAATCCCACCCTGTACCTTTACTCTGCCCCCTGCACGTGGTACCCGCCCTCATCCCTGGAAACCGTGTTTCGTTTTAAGTCTCTTGGGTGCAAAGCTCAGCATTGCCGTCCTAAGCCACCCACCCACGGCCGGGGGGCTGTCAGGCAGACTCCAGGCTGCCGAGAGGCCCTCCAGTCCACGAAAAAAGGAGAGAGAGGGCTTTTCTGATGTTCTGGTTCTTGCATTGAGCATCATCTTTTCAGAAGAAGGAGCGCTAGCTAGCCTATAGCTCGGCTGAGAAGATGCCAAGGGAAGGGGGCATGAGCTTAATTCCGTTGAACATGACACAGTTACCAAAGGCTAATGCATCCTCCAGAGAGCCCCCAGTCCTCCTGAGAACCCTGTGAGAAGAGCCACAAGTCCCCAGTTTCCAGGCAACCCAAAGGGCCGCCGGGAAACACCAGCATCACACTCAGGTGCTGACTGGGCTGCGACGCCACTAAGCAGCTCTGTGATCTCAGGCAGATCCCCTGTCTCCCGGGGCTTCATGCTCTTGTCTGTAACATAAAAGACTGGATGGGGGCTATTTCCATGGACCCAGGTCTGAAGCCTGCTGATCCCATGTGCCCATAACGGTCTTTGTGCATAGAACCCAGAGGTACCGAATGGGAGCCTCTGAGACAGTGTTGGAGATTAAATATTTCCAGTTACATCCAGCTCAGCTACCGTGGAGTCAAGAATTATATTTTGCTTTACTTTGTGCTCAGAAATTTCCTGAGACATGTCTCCAGGGATAGATTTGGTATGAAATCAGTACTGTCTGTATTTGTAGTTGAACATACAAAGCATTAGTCCCAAGTGTGGGTAGTCACTGTTCAGCACGTCAAGGTGTTAGGAGACAATTTTTAAAAATATACTTTATTGATTTTTTTATAGAGAGGAAGAGAGAGAGAGAGAGAGTTAGAAACATTGATGAGAGAGGAACATTGACCAGCTGCCTCCTGCACAACCCCTACTGGGGATGTGCCCACAACCAAGGTATATGCCCTTGACCAAAATCGAACCTGGGACCCTTCAGTCCGCAGGCTGACGCTCTATCCACTGAGCCAAACTGGTTAGGGCTTAGGAGACAATTTTGTTTATCCCCATGGGCGTGGGGGTATATGTACTTGCTTTTTTTTTTCTTTTAGTTTATATTTAAGGACTGAATGCAAGTTATTTGTGTGGGAAAGTTGTACCTCATACTTTGCTTCATGCTGTCAATATGACACAGCCCTCAATGCAATTTTCTTATCTGCTGTATCTGCTAGACAGACATGTAGCTCTGTGGTCCATGATCAATAGCTTCACTTACACTCCTTTCCAGAAGATCATGTTACTGTCTAGTAACTATCTGAGGGCATACATCATAGGAAGCACTTCATAAATCTAGTTGACAAGCTATGCCATTGGAAACATGTATTAATATTAAAGTTCCAAAGAAAAGTATGTTTTTTTTTAAATCTACTTTATTGTTGAAAATATTACAGATAACCCCTTTTCTCCCCATCCCATTGACCCCCTTTCTTCCTCCTCCCATCCCTTCCCTTCCCCCAGCCTTCATCCCCGCTATTGTCTATGTTCTTAGGTTATTCATACATGCATGTAAGTTCTTCGGTTGATCTATTCCTTTCCCCCACCCCCATTCTCTCTAAAGATCCTCAGGTTGTTGCATGCTTCCATGTCTCAGGATCTATTTTGATTGTCAGTGGGTTGTTGTTGTTTTTTGTTTGTTTGTTTGTGTGTGCGTGTGTGTGTGTGTGTGTGTTTCATTAGATTCCACATATAAGTGAGATCATGTGATAGTTGTCTTTCTCTGGCTGACTTATTTCACTTAGCATAGTACTCTCCAGGTCCTTCCATGCTGTCTCAAAGGATGAGAAATACCTCTTTTTTTTACAGCTGAATCAAATTACATCTTGTTAATGTACCACAGCTTCTTTATCCATTCATATACTGATGGGCACTTTGGCTGTTTTCAGGTCTCAGCTATTATAAACAATGCTGCTGTGAACATAGGGGTGCATATATCCTTTCCAATTGGTGTTTCAGGTTTCTTAGGATATATTCCTAGAAGTGGGATTATTGGGTCACATGGCAGTTCCATTTTAGTTTTTTGAGGAAACTCCACACTGTTTTCCATAATGGCTGTACTAGTCTACATTCCCACCAGCAGTTACTAGGGTTCCCTTTCCTCCACATCCTCGCCAGCATTTGTTATTTGTTGACTTGTTCATGGTAGCCATTCTGGCAGGTGTGAGGTGATACCTCATTGTCATTTTAATTTGCATCTCTCTGATGACTAGTGACATTGAGCATTTTTTCATATGTCTCTTGGCCATCTGGATGTCCTCTTTGGAGAAGTGTCTATTTAGGTCTTCTGCCCATTTCTTGATTGGGTTGTTTTCCTTCCTTTTGTTAAGTTGTATGAGTTTGCTTGTTCATTCATTCATTCACCTTATTGAGCACCTACCATGTCAGTCTAGGCACTGGGGATAATAGTGGACAAAACAGATAAAAATGTCTGTCCTCAAGAACCTTACCCTCTAGCAGGAGATAAATATAACCGAATAATTATATCAAATGATGACATAAAAGGTTGAATAGAAAGCAGAATTAACCAGGTGGTGGGGTGGCCTATGAAATTCCCAGATATCAGGCTTTCCTGTAGAACAGCTTCATTAAATGTAAATTTTAGGTTTGAAATGCCCAGCTAAAGAGTAGCCATTAAAATGTATGTTCCAAACATATCTGACCAGTAATTTAGAGATGGAAAATTCATGGTATCTAGGTGTGTCCTATGAATTTTGAAAGAAGAAAGGGTATAGAACTCTCTATTGTACAGTTTTCTGCACCCATAAGTTCAAAGGCATATGCCATAGACAAAGTTATTTTGTTCCCTCCCAAATTCAGATGTTGAAATTCAATACCCCATGTGATGATATTTGGAGGTGGAGCTTTGGTAAATAATGAGATGATGATGGCAGAGCCCTCATGAGGGGGATTAGTGCTCTAATAAAACAGTTCCCTTACATATGTGTGAACCAAGAATCAGGCCCTTGCCAGACACGGAATCTGCAAACACCTTGACCTTGGACTTTCCCAGTCTCCAAAATTGTGTGAAATAAATTTCTGCTGTTTATTAAGTCACCCAAATTTTGTTATAACAGCCTGAATAGTAATCAAACAACCAAATAATTATACAAGTATGATTTACCACGGTGATTGGGGCAATAAAGGGAAAATAAAAGGAGGTGCATGAGCAACAATATGAGCTTGCAATAGGAGGATCTTGATGTGTTTGTGGTGGGGCAGGTGGTCAGGAAAGGCTTCCCTCACCCCCATTTCCAGAAAGAAAGAGAAGTTTGAGCTGATAGATAAAAGAGGAAAACACAACAACCACTCAATTCCCTCTAGTAAAATAGTCAACGATGTGGACTTCGTAAGTCCAAAAGCAGATTTGCATTCTTTCCATACTAAAAGTCACTTAATTTTTGCACAAAACCTGGGAATATCAATACTTCATGGTCTTTGCCATGTCTATAGAGCATCTACCCATTCACTGTGCTAGAGTATGGAGGACTAACGGCATATTTGACTCGGCACCTGTCCTTGAAGAATCTGCAATCTGGTGGCAAGCAGTGTGCTTACTAGTGGACCGTGACTGGAGGCAGGACAGGTGGAGGTGAGCGGTCCAGGCTGCAGAGACCACCTAGCACTCATTGGTCTGGGAATGTTGCCAAGGAGGAGACAAGATATGGTGAAGCACAGATGCTCTGGAGAGCTTACTAACCTGCCAAGGACTGGAAAGACGGAGCATGCTAGTTGTGGGCAGGGGCAGGGGCTGCCTCGTTCAAGGCAGTGGATGGGGAAGACGGGTGTGACTAGAGCAGACAGTGGCCTTCATTTGGCCAAGCAAGTTTCTACC